AAAAAAAAAAAAAAAAAAAAGGAGCTTGTAGCAAGGAGTGGCCCTCAAGATATTGGTGGAATTGAGCCTGATCTTGTCTTTTACTCCCATGCCCTCATCACAATTTTCTGCCTTTTTTTTTTGTTTTTCTGCTTCACTGGCTTTAAGAACTCCCACAAAGAAAGCTGAAGTTGCTCAAGTTACAGCACTGGAAGCCTAAATCTGGAAAATACCAGAGACAGTTATGTAAATATAAGAGGGGAGCAGTGGGCATGGAGGGAGAGGGAGTGGGCTGGAAAAGCACAACAGCCTTGCTTAGAGATTTACCGGAATTGGAGAGATTTCTCCCTTTGCTGCCTATATTTTGCCCATGAGATTGAAAGAAATCATGCAAAAAGAGAAAGAACCTAGTTGGAAGTGGTCAATTTTCATGCTGCAGTTGTTCATGGTGCCGAAAATGGTGATGACGGAGATTTTCCTCGTGGCCATCTTGCAGAAGCTCTCCAGATACTCGTCCCGCTGCTGTACGTACATGGTGTTGTCCGCCTTGGGGGTCGTGATCAGCTAGTTGGTGGCAGAGACAAAAGAGCTTGTTTAACGTAAGGAATGAAGCACATGAGTATTTTCCTGGAGGGGAACAAGGCACTGTTGACAGCTCTGTAGCTTTATTTTGTTTATTTGTGGCTGTTAGACCCAACTCTGACCCAATGGTGCTCAGCCAGCCGGTTGCACCAATTCCTCTCCTGCCAGCACTAGCAAAGGTGGTACTAGGAGTTGCAGAAAACTCTGCACACTACTATTATCCTTCATCCTTTCTGGTCCCATCAGGTCTCCCTTCAGTCATGCAAGATATCTAGGATTTCCCCCGCTAATGTGCCATGGAAGCACTGGGAACGTGGCAGCTGCTCTGTTGGAGCAGGGCTCCTCGTTGCCATTTTGACTGTCATTCAAAATACAACTTAGCTACATGAATGTTTATTTAGCTGATGGCCACATAAGTAAAATCTTTAACATACGATAAGGTCATTATGACTTCATCTGAAAATTGCTGATATAGCTTAAGTTTTTTCCATTCCACTTTGTGGTCTTTCATTTGCTGAGAAGTCATGGCTATTCAGGAAAATGAGGAGAAGCAGCAGTTACAATAAGTATAAAAATCTCTACCGTTTGTATTACACTGGTGGTATCAAAGCTACTCAACAATTAAGAAGACGTAATTTTTAAAAAAAGTTTAAAGTATGCAGCTTATATCCTGCCCCAGTCATGGGCCTGCAGACACTGCAGGTGAGGAGGGGTATGTGCAGACAACCCGCGGCCGCATTTTCCAGCAATCTCCATTGGAAAGTGGAGAAGAAAAGAGACAAATCATTCTAACTGGTAGCAGTGAAGTGAAATCTAATATCTTTCACTGGTACCCCAAGCACAAAGGCATTTGGAATCTGGATCCAAATGTTGTGGTTTAGGCTTAAAAAAATACCCACAAAAACCAGAGAGTCCTGTAAATGCAAAGTTATGCTTTACTCTGTTAGCAGATGTAATCATCTTCTAACCTTTTCAACTCGATAGGGCCTTCAGAACTAATTTTTATGATACTCTCCTTATAGATCCAGTTCATCAATAGGCTAAAATGTAAGATGCAGTTATGGGGTCATTGAGATCTGACTTATTTACAGAAAAGCCCCTAGCAGAACTATAGCACAGGGACATGAAGGTAGATGAAAAACAGACACAAAGAAAATCTTAATTTCTGGGACAAAACAAGTGATATGTTGCTTGCATAAAATGCCTTAAATGAAAAAAAGAAAAAGGGATTATGAATCTGAGGATGCAGATCAAAAAGAGATGATTTGCTCTATTGTCTGCCCAGCTTCAGAGGCCTTAAGTGGGAAAACACAATGAAGTCTGAATTTGACCTCATTTTCATTAAACCTTATGGAACAAAACAGGGAACACATAAGAGGCAAATGAAAGTTCAAATCAAAGCTTTGCTCTAGGTCTGTTTTAACCTAGGCAGCATTAAAAATGTTTTTAGCCTAAGACCTCTGTATCTGCATTTGCAAGCATGTACATGCATGTGTTTTATGAATTTCCTTCACCACGGAGAAACCAACACAAATCCCAAACTCACTARGCCACAACTTCTCAAGGCAAATAAGACTTCACAAACAACCCACTAAAGAGGGGTGGTGCTGCTGGACTCAAAATCCATATATTCAGTTAGCTTTTGCAGCTGGGCCCTACATTTGTCATCCATTGAACTTAGGACAGAATAGCCTCTGAAATTCTGCATGTCTGAAATTCACACTGAAATCTACATTTTGAAATCCTCAAATGGCGTAGGGCTTAAAAAAACTAGGCCTCTCATAATTCTCATGTTTTGGAAGAGGATGGAGAGCTAAGCCTATTAAAGTGTCATAATTATAGCAAAGCAATGAAGGATAATTCAGGTAGAGCCGCTTCTGGAGCGCTGTGGGTAATTCTTTTGACAAGTAGTTTGAAGACTCATGAATGGCAGAGTTCATCCAACTGTTAAGGGCGATGAACAGTTCAGCTACACTGAGGAGGTCGTATGATGGGGAGGGATTAGGCACATGTGTATGGATTTAAATAAGCTTGAAAAGTTCTTTGTTTTGCACATGTGCCACATATGTCAAAGAGATACTGGATGGACTTCAGCCACTGCCGTTACCGATGGCCAGATCTAACCAATTCTCCAACAAACTCAAGGGAAAGGAAGCTAAAGGTGTATTAGACACTGGAAAGTTGAAGTACAACATGATACAATCATTTGTTTTCAGCGAGTTTTAGCCTGAATACTTGAGTTTGGACAACTCCTGAGTTTGTGCAGCTCTTGTCACTTGGAAACCCAGCTGCGAAGCAGCCCAAGATCTGAAAGTTCAAATTTCACTCTGACCTTTAAATTACCAGGACTGTGTTGGAGCAATGAGCTACCAGTCTGCGCCTGTGAGCTTGGATTTTGACTTTTTTTACAGTTTTGTTTTTATTTGTACTGATGTGGCACATATTCTTGGAAACCAGAACACCAAGATACATTACCAAGTTGCAAAGATCCCAAACTTCTCTGCAATTCCTTCCTCTGAGTTTTGACTTGGTTAACTGTTAGATAACAATTAGCTATTGCTTTCTTTACAAAATTCAGCCTTCTTTTTTCCTCCCCCCAAAATATGAGTTGTCTCCACTTTCAAAGTATTAGGAGACTGGATTCTCCAGTTAGCTCAGCATGACCTGTGCAACTGGAAAAAAAGGCAAAGTGGAGAAGAAAGTTGCATTTTGCTCAAGTCTGTTACCCAATTGCAGAACAAGTAATTAGACTGCAGTGGCAGAGGTTGACGTGCCTGCTATTTGTATTGGAATAAGGGACGGGAAGATCAAAACTAGGCTTGTGACGCTGACCATTGGACAAAAAGTGTCAAGCAGCCTGGCGTGCTGCAAAATAATTGCAAGAAAACCAGCTCCCACAATAATATTTGTAAAGAGCTAAGTGTACCTTTCAGGGTATGTGCCATCTGCCAGAGAAAATATTTGTACTACAGCTAAAACTGTTTCCTGTCCCAGGTGAAATATTTTTTTAGATAAGTAGTTGGAGAAACATACAGCACTTATTAAACCTTAGGAGAAGTAGCTGCAGACCATGATGAATTTCTAACACTAAGAATTGCCAGTCTGTTATACTGTGATTAAAATAGCATGCCAAAATACCAAAGCAACCTAAACAGTTTGTGGGGGATCTCTGAAGATGTGTAAGAGATCCTAATCTGAAATTTTAATCAGAAATACTGGCAAATGTGGCAATCCTACTCAGCACACCTCATCATGCAACTTGGAGCATGATGCACTCTGAAATAATCCACACTGAGATTTCATTTCATCAATCATAGCTAAACAGATCCTGACACCTGCATATCCGCTGCAAACAAAATCATCTGAGGGCAATATTGGCTCATGGAAATGACTGGCAAGTGATTTTGGCCACCTCGCTGACAGCAGTTCCTATATATGATTGCCCACACRAGCATGTGAAAACTTCCCTGATGGAAACTAGTCCTCTGGATTCAGAGATTTTACCTCTATTTACTCTTAAATAAAAGCACCAAAAAGAATAAAGTCCCCAGAAAATTTCTCTTCCCCCTTTTCTTAGGAGGAGCAAGATAATGACTTCATTTATGAAATAAGGTGAACAAGTTACTTACGATGAGACGCCTTTTGCCTTCAAAATACTCCAGCAGGTCTGTCACTGATTTCCTGGGAGGGTGCAAGAAAGGCTTCTTGTTGGGCTTGGGGAACTCCTCGTTCCCAGTCCTGCTCCCCTTCTTGCTTTTCTTATTACGGTCTTTGTCTTGCTTGCTCTTTTTTTCAGCTTTGTCTTTCTTGGACTGTTTCTCACTCTTCTGCAATTTGTCAGGTCTCTCCTTCTTCTTCTTCTTCTCGGGTTTATCTATTCTGTCATGCTTCTTTGACTCTTTTCCTTTCTTTGGGGGAATATTTCCCACTGCAATCTCTTCCTCTAGATGGGGGCTAGTGGGCTTGCTTGGGTCATACTTTTCTTCATATTCATTGTTCAGTATCTTTTCTTGGCCCTTCTTTTTTGGCGCTTTGCTCTTAGTTGGCTTGTGTTGCCCTGGCGTGATATTTGGCTCCCGGTGGCCATAGTCCTTCCTGTCTGTTCGGTTATCTTTAAACCTGCCCGCGTTTGCCTTCGTGTAGTGCACTGCGGGCGCTGTTGGGACTTCTGTGAAGCTCTCGTAGCGGGAAGCTTTGCCTGGTCGCCGCGTGGCCGCCTGGTTTTTCTCTGCGTGGCTGCGCTGCCGCTCCTTTCGGTTTCCGTTCCACACGGGAGAGAAGAAATCCTCCGAGGCCGTTACGGGCAACCTGTGGTGCTCCATGGCGGTAGGCGACTTGGTGGTCCAGGTCCTCTGAGTAGTTGTGGTAGGCTGGCTTGCTGTTGTTGCTGCCCGTGTGGTAGCCCGAGTAGTTGTGGTAGTGGGAGGGAGGGTAGTGGTCCTTATTGTAGGTGGAGGAGGAGCCATGGTGGTTGTCATCAATTTCCTCACTGTTTTGGTCCTCGATGGCTGATTATGGCTCCTCTTTGGCTCCTCCTTCCTTGCTGGCCCCTGGAGTTCTCTATCGCCAGGGGTAGGGCGGGTGCTGCCCCCGTTGTTGCCTTCCTCAACCACTTGTCCCTCCACCCCAGCTGCTTTGCAAGCCTGGATGAAGCCCTTCTGCCTTATCTTCTCAATCTTTCTGATGGGGCTTTGATCAATGACTTCGTACATGGCCTCCAGCCTGACTGGATAAGGATACCTTTCTTCCACTTGCAGAGTTTTCTTCAGCAGCACCATGCCAAATTTCCCCTTTTCCAGCTTCAGAAAGCTCATGAGCTTAGGGATGAGGGCAGGATCTAGTGGATGCTCCAGGATTTTGCCTTCATTTGTTATCCTCCTGACTTTTCCCCCTTCTTCCCCTTCTTCGTGGAACAACACAATCTGCTGGATGTGCCTCTCGGCTAGTTCACAGTAGACGTCGTTCTTCAGCAGGCTCATCATGAGCCGATAGTAGCCCTCAGAGGCATGAGGTGCAGAAATAACCCACACTCGGTTCTTCCCAGCAAAACTGGCCAGGACATTAGGGGAACTTGATCCTGAAGAGAAACGCACTGTTCGTGACTGGGATGCAGTGGATATTCCCTCATCTTTAATCATCGTGGACTTGGAGTACTTGGCTGCAGCCATGAGTCTCTGTACCCGTCTCGTTCTGCTCCCAGTGCTCTTGGCCTGGGGATGTGTTTCCTCATGCACGAGATTGGCAGGTGCCTTCGGAGATGCTGAAGGATCCCTCCTGGTGACAGGATGTTGGGGATTCAGGCTCAGATTCCTCAGGGATGCTCCAGACCTTCTCAGGAGGCTGCTGGGAGCCCTGTGAGCGAGAGGCACTTTCCTGACTCCATGGCTCCCTCTCTCTGCTGGCCTGGCTGTCTTCTCAGAGCTGCACACTAGCCACGCTGCCCAGAGCAGGGCTAAGCCGAGAACTGCTCTCCCGTTCATTGTGCAATCTGCTTGTGGGCAGGAAGAGGAGAAACAGCAGGTCTTAGCAGTGCGCGTGTATCTTGCACGAGCGACGGAAAAGTGAAACACGCGCTGGCTGCTTTTAGAGCTTTAAAAATACTGATTATACCTCAGTCCCATCCTGGCAGTTTTGTACATTTTACAGACTATCTAAGGAAAATCACAGACTGGATAATTTTATGGAAAAAAAAAAAAGAGAGAGAGAGAGATCAGCCGTCTCTAATATGAGTCTGTTCAAAAACACATTGTGATCCCCATCCTTCTCTCCTGCCCTCTCACACTTTTGCATACGCAAACACATACACACACGCGCACACATACACAGAGAAAGGCGGTGGTACGTAGCGTGGAAAGTTAAGAGTTTAACTTATGCTTAAGAGTTTAACTTACGCTGCCAGGGAAGTTCCCCTTCCAGAGACGTGCTTCCAGTCTTTTATTTTCTTCCTTTAAAAGGAGAGCAATGCCATACAGCTTTGCTGCTGCCCGGTGATTTATCTTGATGCAACCTCACAAGCTCCAGAGTCCGCCCGTTGCCCCGTCCTGATTAACTTTCTTTCTTCTTCACCTTCTTGACAAGCAGGACGAGACAAATGGAGATTTCCTTTGGTATCTCTGCCTCTCCATTTACCTGCAGGTCTGGAATTTTTCTGTAGCAGTCACCCACGCCAGCAGGGATTTCATTTAAGAAAAGGGAACTCCYAGCTGCCCCCAACCTCTCTCTTTCAAACTTCCCCCAGCTGCTTTCCCATTCCTTGCCTCCTCAGTCCGGTTCAGCTCCTTTGTTTCCAGGGAGGAAAGCACCAGCATTAATATATTTTCCAGGCTGAAGAAAAACACAGGAATGTGATG